CTACACTTGAAATGTATAAAAGAATACGAGAGGGTGCGGATGACAACGGGAACGATGATGATGATAAAGACTACGAGGAAGATGATGACAAGTGTCAGCATAGCATCCCCTGCTCTTCCAACAGTGGATCATGATCACCATGATGCGGATGGTAAGTATCATTGTAGCATCCCATGCATCTCCAACGATGACGAGGAGAAGTATCATCGTAGCGCATCCTGCATCTCCAACTGTGCCTACATGACTTTTGACATGTATATAAGAAAAGAAAAGGGTGCTGATGACCTTCATGAAGGATGATGATGATGATGACAACAATGATGGTGAAGATGACGAGCAGCGCCAGCACAACCAGCATCACCAGTGAAACAAATCTGGCTCGTCCGACCACTTGCGGAAGTGGTCGGACGGAGCAGCCCGAACAACATCTCCAGCGACGCCTGTGTGTCAGCAGATGACGACTGTGATGATAACTATCATCGTAGCATCGCCTAATCAGAGATTATGACGACCATGATGGTAATGATGAAAGCCACATCCAGCCTGCGCTATATCCGCCTCCGGGGACTCGTGGATTCTTCCGAGCTGATGACACGGAGTCCAAGAAGAGCCTCTGAACAAGTGGCTCTATGTGGACACCGATTCTGCGGTGGCTAACCTGGTGACCGGGATCCAGCAAAAGGTTTTGACGCAGCTCGAGGACAAGCTGACCACCCGGGCACGAGTTGGTGTGACTCATGTGAGGCAGAAGTGGTTTCGCCACTCTGTGCATGGGGTGTGACAGAACTGGGCGGGTGTCGCCGGCAAAGTTGCGGGGGGGGGGAAACCAGGGAGACATCTACCGTCATGTTCATGTATGGCTTGCTGAGCCAGCTCTGGAACCCCGGGGAGCTCCGGCGGAGCTTGGAGTGGTATGAAACGAGGAACAACTGGACCTGGATCCAATCCCAGACAGCGCTGGCCCATGTCGAACCAGTGGACCCGGAACTGTGGAGCCTGGTTTGGCGTTGCGTGACAGCCAGGGCTTGTCCTGCTCCAGTTTGATGACCTGACCACCGCTCTGTGTTGATGTCCAAGAGGGAGTTCATCCTACTTGGGGGAACCGGCCGCCACTGTCAGGTCGTAAAAAAGGTGTTCCAGGTCCGCCTTCATCTTTCCTGTAGGCGGGTCTGGATGTCCTCCATCAGGGCCAATCGGATGTCCGGCTCCTTCAAGGCTTTGCCGTCACATGAGCTTCCATCCACCACTACTTCCGGGGCCGTCTGCAAGCGTGCAGCGTAGGGTGTTGCGCCACATAATTCTCCCACCTGCCTGAGGTGAAGGCCAGCAGCAGCAAAGCCAACCCCAGGCTACAGCGCTTGTGGCAGCCGGCCCGGTGGCCTCGCCTCGGTTGCACCATTGCCAGGTATCCGTCCACCATCATCATGACCCTTTTGGACCCGGTTTTTTGCGGGGGGATCCCACCAACTACGCTGTTCACAACTGGCACGGCCCCAAGAGATGACGTCCGCTGCCCCCAGTAGGTGGATTGGATGGCGGCCAAAAGACGCGAACTATATACAATGGCCTTCAACGAGGCAGACCACACGAACTGTGCCTTCTGCTGCAAGGCGGCTTCCATGAAAACTCCGCATGTTGGCCGGCTGTTGGATGGGAGTCCAAACCAGGTGGTCCGCAGCCCGTTCCATCTGCATTGGTCTTTCTCACCTCCTTCTCCTTCGCATCGACGGGCGTGAGTTTCCTCTTAACCGCCGCAAGAGGAGCACTGCCTTTGTTGGTGCCATCAAACAACTGCTTGTTGCGCTGGTCGGAGAGTGCGATCATGTGCTTCTAGGAGAAGCGGCCTCTTAGCCTCCTCCGCTGCTAGGGCTGCCCCTTCCTCAAAGGCCGTCTTTTCGTTCCAGGCCTCCACTGCCTTCTGCTGGGGGCTTCTCCTCTGTCACCATGTTGCCCCGCGTGTAGTTGAAAGCCTTCACCTCTGTCACATGCATAAGGTCGCCTTTCACATCCTCAAAGGCTGGTCCTCTCATGGAAGTCCGAGGATTGCTTCCCAATTTCGTATTGGGATCAAAACCTCCCAAAGGAGAAGCTCGACAAGCTTGCGCCGATGCTGACCAAACTGCATGCGGGGGAACTCCGCACGAAACCACAAGTCACGTCTCTCCTGGGCCTCTTGCAGCGGGATCACGTCAAGCGATGTTCCAATGTATGGGCGGACCAGCTCACCCACTTGGACTTTTCTGGCTTCGACATGCGTCAAGAACCATCCTGGATCATTCTGCCGGACCTTCTGGATCTCCACATGCAGGATGCCCAGTTGCAGGACAAGACCAATGCGCACAACCACGGAAGCGGGGGAACGCGTCCGGTTCGATTCCTCGGGATACTTCTCAGGCCGGCTGGCTCGACCGCCTGTTGGGGGCCCCTCTACTGAGGAGGGACTTTTCTCCACCACTTCCAGGAACCTGGGGTGGTTGTTCGTAGTACTTCTTACTTGGGATGGTTCTGGAGTCTCAGCGATTCCAAACTACTTCAAATGAACGCGGATTACCACGAGACCGGATTTACTTTTAACACGGACTCACGCGGAACAAGGGGGTATGAAAATACCCCCAATCCTGTGAGGGCCGGCAGGAAGCTGACACAGCGAGGAGGCTGTGTTCGCTGCTCTGCCCGCCCTCATGAATAGGATGTTTGCAACCCACGCAGTCTCGGGCTCTTGGGGAGCGCTACAGACTGCACTGTGACTTAACCTATAGACAAAAGCAAGAGTGCTCCTTTCTGGACTACATTGTGCGAAACTGGTTTACACAAAAAGCGTAGGTTTCAGTTGGGAGGTGTGCTAAATGAAACGGTCAGAGCAGTCCTCGGTAAGTCCGACTGCTTACAGTTTAACGACCGCCCATCCCTGCTTGCGAGCCCTTACCTGCATGTGGTCTTGCTCACGTCCTGAACCTCCCGAGCGCTTCCAGTCTCAGACTTGCCGGCAACTGGGCTGTTGCACCGTGAGGCTCCCACACCCTGGGATGGTTTCCCTGCTTGACCAGTGTGGTGGGAATTTGGAAGCACCGGACGCCTAGCCGGAGACAACTTAGCAGCTCAGTAAACAGTAAACCCGCATTCTGGATCAAAGCAGCGGCCAAGGTTTCATGCTTGATTCAAGCTCATGCGGGCTCTCTTCGCTGCATCTACAAACAGAGTCGGATGATGAAGACACCTTTCCCTGTTTTTTCCAAACCAAATCAGAAAGAACTTAATGCCCCCTGCCCCACCATGTTTTTCCGTCGGGCCTACCAAAGTTGGTATCAAGCTTTTTGGACGGTTGGCCGTTCTTGGTTCTTGACGGCATTTTCGTGGGTTTCTGCAAAGGTTGAAGCAGCGGATGTCCAAAAAAAGGCTGCCTCTGGAGGCCAGGTTGGCCCAACATGGGTTGAACGGGAAGTGAAGGCATCTGGCCATTGCGGATGAACACATGGCATGTGGATAGATCTTTGTTTACCAACCGTTTTGGGGGTTGGTTGGTCTCCAACCAAAGGGAAGCCAAACCTTTGTTGCGCCGGTTGGAGACCATTCCATTTGAGACAGTTCCATTTGTATGTGCGCTGTTTATTTGTCTTATGCACTTACACATGCGCAATGGATCTGTAGACTGTGTGAGGAAGGCTGTCCAGAGCAACCCCAAACCCAACGAGGCCCTTTAGGCTTGTGGGACATGGTGATGGCCCAACAAGAGTTGCTTGGTGTTTGAAAGGCCGGGTTTTCTGTCGTGACTTACCGTTGTTTCCTTTAAAGCCATTCAATGAGTCAGGGAGGTCCCTTTTGTGGACAAGGTCGAGCTTGCCAACGGCTTGCCACCCAAAAAGTTCATAGGGGCAACCAGGAAAATACATGAAGGACCCATGTTCCGAGTTCAAACCAGTATATATCTTGCTTAAAACATGCACCGAACACTTCCCCAAAGCTCTCTGAACGTCCACCTATTGCAAAGAGCTTCTGTAGCGGTTTCCTTGCGCACCCCCTTTCTTGTTTTTGCTTCTCTGCCATCGGTGGGTTTCCCGCAAGGAATCCACCACGCCTTTCTGGGGGCGATTTGTGTATTTACATTTGTGCGACAAAATTGGCCTTGAAAGGGCGGCCCTTTCACGACGTTTCTCGTGGTTGGTTGTAAATGTCGCTATGCCAAGGCATGAGGTTTGGCAGTCGTTGCTTGATTTTGTGAAAACATGGTTGGGTCAAATGGTTGACAGGGGCAACACGCGTTATGTTTGCGTATTGCCAGATGCTGCATTGCGCATGCAAGGTGGCCATGCTTTGCACGAACTCATCACCGCAGGCAACACATCAACAAGTCAGGATGAAGGTCATGTTCCAAGCTGACCAAAATTTGGACCCAACAACTTTTGAACTCCACATATGAAGGCGCTGAAAAGTGTCAATGCTAAACAGCTCCCAGAAGGGGGGTGGAGTTGGCGCAAGTTTGTGCTCAACCATCCAGAAGTGCTAAACTCCCCAACAGCCTATTCCACTCCTAAGCATGGCTATTCGTTTGGAAAGTAAGTGGGTCGCACAAGTAGGTCTAAAAGGATACCTTCCCGATCGGTGCCTCGTGGCCTCAGTCGGCCAGGGCACGTTCGTGCTTCGAGTACATTTCAGGCTGGCTGCATGTTGCCCAGCCCCTGCCATCATCAAATCCCACGCTTCAATCACGTTCATCACATGTTGTGGTGCGCAACACACTTGCCCAAAATGGTGCAACCTTTTGCCCTTGGTGTTCAAGGATTCATGTCAGTTTGCCTCGAAGTCGGGGACCCCCAGAAAGGGGCCCGGTTAGCCCCGCGCAATAGATTTCGCTTGGCTTCCCAGCCACAGCCCCCAGAAGGGGTCCTTGAAAGGAGACCCAGATTGACTAGGCGTGCTCTCTGGTCATCAACACAGCGCTGGTAGAGATGGGTGTGTCTCAAAATAAGGCCAGAAGCTGTCAGAGGTCTTCCCTTGGTCCCCTTTTTCAGCAACCCTCAAACAAGACAACCCTAGAAAACTAGGGGCTTCATCCCAACCTTGTATTGCTGCTGCTTGCAGAGTTTCGACGTCTCAGCGAGGCCCTTCATGTGCTGCTGCCGTCTTCTTTGTGTCAAAACATCAGCATCAATGTAGGACTCGTGCATGGAAGCAGCACTGGCCACTGCGATTGGTGGCGTCACTGCCGTTTAGTCTACGCAACGGCTCCCTTCTCGCCTGAGCGCGGGCCACGAGCAACTGCGTATTGATTTGATGGCGCTGGCTGCTGGAAGGTTGGGACGCACAGATTACAATGAGGCGCCCAGGTGTGTGCACTCGCGCCTTGTGCTTGCCCATGTCGCCCAGGATGAATATGTGACACTTGCTCCTGACCACCACCTGCATAGTGAAGTGCTCAACGCTGCTGCCAATGGACACTGTCAATTGCGCCCCGGCCAGGGCGGGGGTTTGAGTGCCTGAGATGGTATCTGGCAAGTAGATTGGGGAGCGTGACCGCCACTATGGTAGCAGAGGGTGGGTGCGGCCGCATGAGGATCACAGGCAGCGATGGCGAGGAATCTGGTCGCTCCAGAAGCCATGAAGGACTTTTGCGACGTGCAAGGAGCAGCGAAAGCTGCGAGGGGCTTGACCGCTCTGCTGGCGAAGGTGTTCGCACACATCACACTTGGGTCAACTCCTCAGGCATCCCCGCTGGGGACAGATCTGTTCGGAAGGGCTTGGTGCTGGCTCGGGTTCTTGGCGAAGCCTTATGCCACGGCTTGCTCAACGTTTCCAATCTGGCACGAATGGAGCTGGTATGTCGTCGGCGCCAACTCATTGAAGCCAATAGCCCTGGTCAGCCGTCATGTCTTGGGGGAGACCCGCAAGATATCGGAGGGCGTTTCTCTGAGGACAAAAAATTCGTGCTGTGTGTCGGGCTACTTCCAGAAGAATCCAGGCGGAGCGCGCGTTGCCGAGATGGCCAACCGTGTTGCGGACAGCCTGAATTCACTTTTTGCCGTGGTCATTGCTTCAAGGTTCCAGCCGCATTGAAAGATGTTTACTCCTTGCAGCCTTGCCCCTTTCTCAGAGATAGACATTTTGTCCGCCGTTGCATCAGACCGAGGAGCCCTCAAGGCGCTCCGGGTTGCTGCTTCAGCTTATTGCTGAGGTTTGCCACACGTCCAGCTCCAAGCGAAAGTATTGCATCGTGGTTTGAGGGATGTGAGCCGCAGCAAAAATCTCGAATGTCAGCGCCGCTTACATAGAGCTGCGCATCCTGTGGTACTTCTACATCGCAGAGGCTGGAAAGGCTGCCCAGCTCCCTTCTTGCGGGTAGCGCTGCAGCTCTATGTCCACTTCCTTCTTGTTGGGCTCGGCCGACTTGTAGTTCAGCAGGTCTTCCCGAACAGCTCCCTGCCTGATCCGACGTCCTTTCCTTGGTGACCACCAGCTGGTTGAGGCTCGTCGTGCGCAGGTCCAACAACTTGCTATCGGGCTCGCCGTCCTTCACGCTGCAGGTTTCTGCGATGTGTCACTTCAATTCTGGAGGCTGCATGCCCGAGACTGCAGCGCCCGAGGGCTTGAAACTTGGACAATTGAAATTTGGAGGCTGCAGGGCCCGCGGGCTACCTTGGACCCTTGGAGGTTGCAGTGTTTGCGGGGATTTAAACTTGGACATGTTGAAATCTGGAAGGCGCACAACGCTCGAGGAGATTGAGGCTAGGGCTCGAGAGTGCACCGCCGGCCGCCATAGGAGCGTCGTCAGCAATGAGTCTTCGAGGCAGGAAGTCAATCAGAACCCAGAGTCTGTGCTGCAAATGGAGCAAGCCCCAGCCGGTGAGCGCTTCGCCTTTGGCAATCTATAGGGGCCGTTGTCCAACAGCTTGCAAGGCCTTGGCAGACAAAACCAAGGAGTGTTTCGAAGAGCTGAGACATCAAGACCGAATCCTCAAACGGCGCATTGTGTCACGAGCTCCATCCTTTGGGGCTGGCGTTCCACCCGCCTCGAATCCCAGATCTTTGCAGGACATCGCCAATCGGACAGGAGTATCAAAACGAGCACTCTCTCACGAAACGCTGGTGCTGCGCCTCCTCCACTCGCTCGACGCCAGCGCAATCGAAGAGACGATCCACCCCACCAACAGCCCAAGCAACATTGCGGCAGGTGTCGCATCTGCGACGAATGCTGCCGGGGCACCTGTGGTGTGTGACTCTGAGCCAGAGGAAGGCGTGCGGTTGAACAAGACCAGGTCTGCAAGGACACGCCCTGCTCCGAGCACATTGCCGACCGAACCGCCTGGAGAAGTTCGGAGGCAAGGAGAGATCGGTGCGCGAAGAATGCGCCAGGTCAGGGGCTGATGATGGAGATCGCCGAGGCCCTCGCGATTTGCCTCCCCGTTTTTTGTCAAACCAACCCTGAAGTATGCTGGTAGCCCAAATATGCGGGCTCCCTTGCATCAGTTGCTGATTCCCCAAGTCATGCTGCTCAGCCACCTCTGACACCGCAACGCAGTGTGATTCCACTCGACGCGTCGCTCTTCGCAAAGAGCTCCCCTGTCGAGTCACACTCTCTTGATTTTGAGCAGCTTCGCTGGTGGTGATCGACGCCATGACTGGCCCGGAGGCGGAAATGGGGGATGAAAGGCGGTCGACCATCTCTGAGTCACTGACCAGGCTGGGCTGACGTGAGCGGCGTGAAGCGGAGAGACACGCTCATGAGCCAGCTGCGGTTCCGAGAGGGGAAGAACGTCGCCCAGCAGCGAGGAACATGATCAGCAACCAGAAGCAAGGACCCAGGAACTTCATCACATTTTAATCTGATGCGCACCTACCAAATAATGTAGGTTGGGAGAAGGGATTGCCATACTTGGGAAAAGCGCGGTTGATTGGCCAGTCTACCTGCTTCGGCTGATTGATGACAAACTAGCTCAGCCTGAAAGGCGATACGTGAGACTCACCGTTCACACCTGCCACGTCGATGACGGTGGTCTCGCTGGCCAGAGCCCACTGATGCGAAAACGCCGCAGGGCGGCTTGTAGTCGTTTTCTTACTGTCTTTTCTCACGCATGGCTCAGTGGATGGCCAAAGCGGCTTTGACTCACCGCAATCTGAACTTATCAAGCTTCGCTATGTGAAGAGCGCGAGAGGAATCCTTGGTGAGTTCCATTTTATCCTTGGTGTCTCGTGTGAGCCTCGGATGGATGACTGACAATCCTGCCACTGGTTCGGGGTGGTCGCGGGAATGTTTGTCCGGGCGCAAATAAGCCTCTTTGGCGAACCTCTAAGGCTCACGGGTAAGGTGTGAACGGACCCAGGGCCGTGAACTTAAGTGTCCATCAAAACGCATCTTCCCTCTTCCACAGACCTCAGATGAGGGGTGTGTGTTTTGACATAGGCGAACGGTGCCTGGCTCAAGTCCGAGGCCCTTGCAAAAACTAGGACAGGCGCCATTGCGTGACGGGACCTGACGCAAGGGGGGGCCTGCTATTCCGACGCGGCGTTCTTGGACTTGGTTGCTGGCTATCCTCTTTAACATCACTCGTGCCTCTTGCCCTACCAACCCAACAGTTACTTCAACTACCACCACCTTTTGACTTGGCCACTGGTCTCAGAAAAATTGGTTTGTTTGACCGGGTGTCACTGCCTCAAATCGTGGATCACCTTAAGATAACCCTTGAACAAAGGCGGCGCGCCTTCCTGGTTCCCTTTGCGACTTGTCCTTTTCCAAACGGGTCCATCGCCGGCTTTCCAAACCGCAGGAGACCAAAGTTGATCTCCGTACTTCGCCGCAAGGTTGAAAATGGGTGACTTCAACCTTGCTGACCAAAAGGCAACCGTCCCGGCAAGGAGACTGAGCCTTCAGAGTCCTCCTGCATTGAGGCGCGGAGAAAATTGCCTTCCCAGTTCATGGCGGGGAGGGGTCATGGAAAACCTGGGAATGAACAAAAAATTGGATGGTCATTTCTATCTTTGCCAAATCGAAGGGAAACCACGGATCAACATTTTTGTTCAAAGAACGGATGCCTCTTGTCAGACTTGCGATCGTGCAAACGGAACAGAAATCCTGACCCTATTTGGATTGCCCTTTATTCGTGCTCCGGCTCGCGGATGCCAAGGCCGAACCCGAACTGTGAGAATGGAGGAGTCATTTTGCACAGGCCGAGGAAAAGACAAATTGTCGTGCCTTGTGGTTGGACCTTTTGATATTGAGTTGTTGCGCTGGCCTTTGCGCGACGCCGTGCCATGCATGTACCCTGGAATATGCAAATCGGCCATGGCAGCCAAAACATGTAGAAGATCCATGGCAGCCACATGGCAGCGAAAACAGTCAAAGGCAATCACAGACAAACCGGAATTGCATTCAAAAGGAACATGGCGCCCAAACGAACTTAGAGATCCATGCGGGAGAAAATACGTATCCGGGAGCAATTTGCTACCAAACCAGGGCTAGCGCTGGGTTGGTCAGTCGATGTGAAATGGCCGGCGGGTTCGAGGTGGACTCGGAGCGCGAATCGGATGGGGAACTTTCGGTGCCCGACGCAGCCCAAACTCAGCCCATTGGAGAGAACCTCTATGCCCTTTTGATATCTGAGATCAGCGTGGATTATGTCAAACTCTTGGATGGCTCCTCTCGGCGCCCCCTTGTACGCACCTTCCGCCTTTTGTACTCCCTGTTGCTTATTGGATTTGTGATTTTCCTTCAGGTGTTCCTTCTATTCTGCGTGTCTTCGATGCTTTGTGGGCCCGCTACGCTGGAGATCCGGCAGGTGTATGGCGACTATGAGAGGGCAGTTTACGACAAGATCGAGCTTAGCCGCAACGGCTATCCTCGTGGACTGCCCGGTGAGGAGCCGAACCACGCATACTTCTTGAAAATGGACATGGACGAGAAGCAGAAGGTGTGTGGCGTCCCGCTCTCACAGCCGCTCTTCACCTTCACGCTTCTCTTTATTTGGACCTTGACCTGCATTGCCGAGATTCGAGCGACAGTGCGCCTTGGATACGCCTTGCTTTGGCTGACACCAATAAAGTCAAACGTGGAGGACTGCATTGAGCAAACTGAGGAATCCAGGGTCATTGTGGGCCTCACCAAAGGCATGAAAGTCTCTCTCTCCTTGATTTGCTTCTTGCCCCGGCTTCTGGCGCTTGCAGCTTTGAACTTCTTGGGCTGCCGCTGGCTGCTCTCGACTGTGAGCTTGCAGGACCTCTTCCTGAACTCCTTGGCATTGGAGTTCATTTTGGTCCTGCCGGAGCTGCTGTACAAGACCTTCTCCTCGCATCGCAGCATGATGCGCACGGAGGGTACCTTTGTGCAGCAGAGGTGGTACTCCCATTTGGACCTCATGGGGGTTGTGAGCTCCGTCTTTTGGGGTTTCCTGGCCGCTGCCTGGGTCTACATGTACATGTATTACCTTCAGCAGGTCTTGCCGGACTACCTGTGGGATATTCATAAAACCTGCGCTCAGCATGCTGCTGAACTGGGTCAATGACAGCACACCGGTGCCCTTGCAAGAGTTCGAGCTGCTCTCTGTGCCTCATTGATATCACGGACGATCTATGAATTTGTACTTGGAATCTACAATCCACGGAACAAGTGCCAGGAAGGATACTGTAAAATGATTTGGACACATGTGATATTCTCTTGTGTAGCGCAAGCAACAAATATATGCGGACCAAAACGAGTCTGAAAGTTCAATCGTAAGTTGAGGGTGCCAAGGGAATGACATGAGTTGAGCACGCCAAAACACCCATTGGTTCGCCACAATTCAATATCATTGATGGACAGCTGCTGAGTATTGACTGGGTCAGTCAGCGTCCCGGAGAGGGATGGTGAACATGTTTGTTTTTGTGGCGCAGGTGGGCTCCAAACTCTGGAGCCGGTCTACGCCCTTTTCGCAGGACGTACGCGCGAGAAGTCACCCAGGTGGAAAATATTTTTAGTACTCACTAATTTGTCCATGTCTTCTTGGGGAACAGTTCGTGCCATTGTCAACCCCCTCATTTGGCTCATGGCCATGGTTCCGTTAGGAATCAGGATGACCTTTCCTGGTAACCCCAAGTGGATGTGTTGGTGCTTTGACTTGGATGCTCTTTGCCATCAGAGGGCAGTTGGAACATCCGACTGGCTATTTGCTAGAAGTTTGACTGGGCACCGATCACCTTTAACTTTTATACCTGCACAACACTATGACAGTTTTAGCAAGACCAACCCAGACTAAATTCCAAAGATCCCTCCCATTTCTTTTCAGCCGTCACCGGCTAATATGGGTATGCCATCCCCCGCCTCAAAATAAGTTTGAGCGGGGGGGACATCAGTAAAATACAATGCGTTTGGGAATCCTTAGCAAAAGGTCTGGCGTTTGCATTACCACCACGTTGGGGGGATGGTGTGACTCAACAGTGTTGAAGGGAAATCAAAGGAAACCACCTGAAAGAGTCTCCAGCTTACAAGATGCTCATCAAGATGCTTCAGCGAGGAACTGACACTTGAACTGGCAGACACCCAGGTCTTTTTTTGTCCTTTTTGAAAGGATCGAGCAAGGTATTTGCATGGCTTTAAATGGTTTGCCCTTTGGTGCTGCAATTCCGGGAGCGACCAAAGAGCCGGAACTGGCCAACCCAGGTCAATGGCGGTTTCCAGCGACTGAAAGCAACAAAGGGCGAACTGTTTACACACCTTCAAAATGACCAGGTTGAATAAAGCAATCCACTGAGTCGCAATGAAAGTCATGAGGAGACCCGCCACAAACTATTCACTTCAACTTGCTTGCTCCCAGTAGCACATTGCCAATGCTCAGATCCATCTCTGGTTGGAAGGAGGCTCATTCAACATTGTTCCCTGCTGAGAACGAGCAAGACATGCTCAGTTGTATTAACCCAGTTGATAGCTCCCAAACCCACTAGCCATTTCAGCACGGGTTTCTGCCCGATTTATCGTTGATGGTAGCGCCCCCTTTCAGGATACATACCTTTACGATCCTCTTTTGGTTTCGAGCCAGGAGTCTTGGGTTTCAAAAAGCAAGCAAGCAGATGCGTGCCCATCTTGGTGGGCCACATCAGCTGTTGGAAAGGCCAATCTGTGGCGAGCTTTTCCTGCAGGGTGTTGAACTTTGGGCTCAATGATGGTTGGTTTCCCATAGTTAAGCCATAGTAATGTTCCCCATAAATGAAGGCTTCACACTAGTTCAAACCAGGGGCACTAATTGCTAGACTGTTTTTTGAATTGGTGCCCTTGTTGGATTCGCTCACAAATCGAAAGGAAAACCGAAAAGCCCTTTAAGCCTTTTGTTTTGGGGTTTGGCAAACCGAAAGTCAAAACGAGGCCCCCAAAACGGGGGGGGGGGTGAACCCCCAAAGTCTATTGTTCTTCAAAGGATACATTTTGGCTAAATAAAACACCACCGTTTCTGCATGTATCAGGTGTTTGTACGGGATTGTTGTCCAGGAGAGCTACCGACCAGTCTTTACGCCTTCGCGGCCCTCTACCATCTCTAGGGCGGGGAGGGCTGGGGCGCGCGCGCGTGCGCTAGCCCTTTCCTGTAACTTTCTTCGCGACGCCTCCCTATTTTGGCACACACCCATGTTGTTTTCTTGTTATTTGCCTGCAAGAAAGTCAAATGCCACAGATTGAGATTGCCTTGAAAGAGGGTCTTTTACGAACTAGTTGGGAACTGGATTTTACATAAACAGGATGGGGAACACTTGTGCAAACAAGTAGCAAGGTTTCAGCATGACGCGTCGACAGATTGCGGTGTCAATGCAGGTGGGTTGGGGGACGGTTGTCCTCCCTACGCGGGGGTGTCAATCCAACCTAGGCAAGGATTGTTTCATTGTGTTCTTTGAGGGAAACAAAAAGGACGCCGTTGCCAGTTGCAGAGGTGCCCGGATGTTTGAACAACCACCCATACCTGAAGGGGTGAAACCAAAATGTGGCGACCCGTGGTTTCCCATGGGGAGCTCGTGTCGACACACAAATCTCATGCGCTTGCAGCAAGGCTCTTGGTCAAGTTTTCAGAGTTGCGGAACTGAAAGATATGGGGTCTCTGCCCAGATGGGGCTCCGGAGCGGTCCAATCAAGTCCGGGGAAGCCAGGTAGCGGGCAGCGACGTGGTGAAGACTGCGAAGTACCAAGTTCTGCCCCCCTGGGGCCCGGAGCGGGCCAACAAAGACCACCCACCCTGGGCCACTGCCTTAGCCCCTAGCCGAGAGAGCAAAGAGTGATCTGCAGTGGTGCTTTTGCTCATAGGATGCCAGCCCCCCCATCGCCCCCCTCCTCCAAGTGTTTCCTCCAAAGGCCTTGATGCGGCCACCGTTGACGTCATATTTAAAGCCTCCGGCTCAGACGGCCTGCTTCCCCCCCCTAAGATCTATCCCCTTTTCCCCCTGGAAGATCTTCCCCCCTTTCCCCCCCTAAGATCTGTTCCCTCATTTCCTGGCGAAGGATCAAAGATCTTACAGGAAAAAGGGGGAAAAGATCTTAGCAGAGGAAAGGAGGAAAATATCTTAGGAGGGGAAAGGGGGGAAACGATCTTAGTGGGGAAGAAAAGATCCAGAGGAAGGGGGGGGTGTTTCTTGTTTTGTTCTGTACTTGCGTCACAATGATCCACTCATGAAGCATTCTTTTGTTTGCTTTGGCTCAAGGCCTCGTATATAGTTCCTTTACAGCAGCAACAGTAGAAAAAGGAGCCATCGCTTTGCTGATTGTGGGACTTGCATTGTTTGATCCTTATTGGACCAAACACCGCTTTATATTTCATACTGTGGTCACTTCCCCTTTACAGATTTATTCCTCTTGCATCGGAGTAGTTCTCCAGGAGGACCTATGAGGTGCATTGCTGGCCCTTTTGGGCCCCCGCATTTGCAACCTCAATTGTGGTCGTGGAGCAGATTCTCCGAACACAAGATGTCAAGTGAAGAGGGCTTTTATGGAGCAGAACCACAGCGGCTTTCTTAGGAAGCCGTCATAACGGCGTGAGTTTGCATGAAGAGACCATCAATCTTTCGATGAATGCAAAACTGCCTCCATCGTATGCCGGCCGTGTTAGTTGGTTTCGGTATGAAGACCTGGTACGGGATTGGATGACACTCACGGTTAGAGGACGCGGCAACATACCGCAAATTATTGGACAATGAGAAACTCATAGACCCGGACGATGGCGTCGAGTATTTTCTCAGTTTCCCTGAAAGGGGCGCTGTCAGTGTCTTCCTTTATCGATTCCTCAAATTCTGACTTCATGATCTTTATCAGCAGACTCGAGATTCTCCTGCGAAGGCTGCGAGCATCTTGGGAAGATACAGCGCCCGTATTCACAGGCAATCAATGACGCGAATCAGAGAACGCGCGATCAGCATAATCGAAGAATTCCTGAGATCGCAGGAATGATGCATGGTCTGCCGCAAGCAGCCGCAGCACCCATTGTGCCCGACCCCGACATACCTTGATGCAGCACAGCCAGAAAACTTAGAGGTTTGTGAAAGGTAAGAAGCAAGAGCATTCACAGGCTTTTCCACTGTCAGACAACATGTTGACATTGCTCTTCATCACGCGGAGTGACCTTTCAGAAGGCCAACGAGAACGGCTGGTATCTTCTGTATCCTTGAGCAAGGAAATTACGAAGGAGAAGCAGGATTCTGAGTAGAAGATGAAGAAGGCGAAGAGGGCTTTTGCCCAGTAGACGATGAAGAAGCTTTCTGGCAGTTGGAGGACCATGATGTTTTTGTTCTCAAAAGAATTCCACGTCGGACTCTTAAGTCTGGCAGGGGGCGAAAAGGAAGGAAAGGCAAGGGCAAGCGCCGAAGAGGCCGCTTTCAACCCTCTAGAAAACCACAGCCAGGCAGCAAGGCCAACATGGCCAACGAGACCACCACGATCAATCCTACTGGGGTAAGAAAGGAAGGCAACCTTGGTACCAAAAAGGAAAAGGGAAACAGTCCAACAAATCCAGGGACAAAACAAAGATCCGGCCAAGGACGACAAAGGAAAGGCAAAACCAAACCCTTCGCCGTTGATCATAATGCCGAGGCGCAGGAAGCCATAGAGCCTCCTGTCGACATATCGCCAGACCCGTCTCAGCATGATTGGGGCCAAAGTGCTTGCTGCAGATTGGAACAATAGTTGTTATATTTCTAGCCACAACAATGGCATATCTAGCAGAATCAACCGTAGAAGTTGATGCTAGTACGAGTAAAATGGCTTGGGATACGGCATGCCGCATGCGAAACCAAATCGAGCTCAAGCTCTGGCCAGTAAACTCATGGCGCCCATCATCAAGCAGGGCGAAAATTCAACCCGTGTCATTCCTGACAATGGTTGCACAAGCCCATGGACAGTTGGTACGCACTGGAGAGATTCATGAAGGCAATAGAACCGAATCCGCACCGGATGAGGTATGAGTGTATCCCGTGCAACACTAGTTTCACATTTGCCACTGGTCAGACCTCAAAGTCGACTGGACGCTCCGACTGTTTTCAATACTTCACCACCTACGGTGACCTTTATTGATAACCTAGAACAAGGACAAGTTCTGATTTTGCTCAGCATTGATCAGACACGGAACCTTCACATGACTATTGAGCACACTCCTCAATGTGACAAGATCACACGCAAGGCATTCGGCATGATTCGACAACCCATACCGGTATCCAGTAGCGGTTCTGCAATGTTTGATCTGGCAGCTTTCTGCAATCAACACGACGCCAGGACGGCTAATAGGGCCGTTGCTGGCGACAAGATCAACCCCCCGCAGCATATCCAGCTGAAAGGAACCAATAGTTTCTGCACCAGCACTGGCGAGTGAGGCGACCGAAACAATCGTTCGCATCAACACGACCGCTGGATAATCAATCGCACCACAAAGGAACTCCTCCATATAGAGTTCACGTGTCTAAGAGGGGAGCGCTATTCGCACCTGACACAAAAGCAAAACTTGTCCAATATCCAACACGCAAATCTACAAGCAAAGGGTAACTAACAGATTCCAGCCATAGACAAAAAACAACTATCTTCCATAGAAGATACTTGGCGAACCAAGGCAGACGGGACCCACAATCTTCAAGCTCTCTGACAAACCACTACAGCAGAGCAAATTCACATTGACAAACCAGCAGAGGATCGTTCCAGCACCAGGCCGGCATGCCGCTGAGCCAACAGATCTTGCTGCGTCACAACAAGAAGCATCACCAGATGCTCCTACAGAACCACCAGTTACACTTCCACTTGCACTACGACGCACACACGCACACACGACTTTCCAAACCAGAAGAACTAAGGAAACTTCACCCGCAACATCGCCACGTGTCAGCAGAACAGTTCACATTCAGAACCCGCGCGTTGCATCTGTCAAAGGAGATCTACGATCTCTACGACAAGATCCGAGCAGAATGTGAACCTTGTCAGAAGGCTGCCATAGCACCTTCACGTAGTAAGACCAGTGGCCTCTCAGCAGAAACATCTTACGAGTTGACATTCATTGAGCACTGCCAAGTTCCTGTAAAAACAGGTGAACGCATCAATGAGTTCGTGATCCTTGGCGGCCACAACACTTCTAACCGCAGAAGTGGTAGAGAGAACAACTGACGTCACCAATATTCCTTTGTTACGGAACTATTTTGATCAATATCATATCCTGCCGAAATGTGTCGTTGGAGACAAAGCATTCATGACAGAGAGCTGGGAGACCTTCTACAACAGTCTTCACATAAGACCTGTCTCCTTAGATCGCATGACACCATGGCCGCACCGAGCGGGGACTCGCAGTGCGTCTCATCAAGAGACAAAGTTCTCCCTCATGTCCAACTCCATCAAAGCAGGCATAGCGCGAGCCTCACTGAAGGCCATAACCATAACCTACATAACCTACAAGCAACTCGTGAAGGCAGCAGCGACCGCCAAAATCCCTTTATTTCCATGTAGTTTGCGTCATTTCCCCACATTTCCTTTCAGCAGCGTGGGCAACGCAGATGATGCTGGCGAAGTTTCTTTGGAGGTGCTTAAGGGCCGGGCTACGAAAAGGCCCCCCCCCCGCAAGAGTCAGAAACCATGGTTGTGGGGAGGGGTAAAGAGGTTAGGAGCATTTCGTATGCCCAACACGCCGTCTGTTGTTGGCGGTTTTGGGGAAAGTTGGCCATTGTTCTAGGGTTCTCTGCAAGTCAGGTTCTGTCGAAACAGGGAGGCACTTTGGGAACATGGGGGCCTCACAAAAGCTGCGGGACAAACCATGATCTGTCCATGCCCAATAAGGCAACGGTGAATTTTGACCGCTGCTGAAATGGGTGCTTTCGGGGTTCCTTTTGCTAGTATCCAGGAGATTGCAGGTTCAGGTCACGGTTCGGACCAGCGCCGCAGTTGCAAAGATTGAAATTACTTTTGGGGCACTGCGAAAGCCAACTGTTCAGACCAACCTAGTCATTCAGGAACCCCAGAAAGGTTCGTCAGGAAACCTTCCAATAGTCGTCCAGGGCGTCTCTGCTTTCCAGGCTTGGGGGAGGGCCGTGGTGTTGCCCCCTAGTAAAGAGTTCTAATTTCTGGTTGAAGCTTCACGTCAGAGCGGTGTGACCTTTGCAGCGGTCTTCGAAGCCCGCAATTTTGGGCGCCCAATAAATTAGACATAGACTTTGCAGGTAAGCAATGACACGCAGGCTAACAAGTATAACTGCCAACGCAATTCGGCATCAAATGCAGCTGAAAGAATGGATGTGGGGTAACATTAAGTTGCAAGGAAAGCTATCCCATATTCAACGAGTCATAGGTAGACGCTTGCATCCATACAGCTTGACAACTACAATGGTATGTCTAACTAGCCCCTGGCCAACTACCCCCCCCCCCCAAGTTAATTTAACTGGGGCTAAAATAAGCCCAACTCGGACCTTGCCAACTAGACGCTTTCCATCGTTCAAGCGGCCCAACGCCACTCCCTGGGACCCTACATGGTAGCAGAATGAAAATACTTGGGATTGCGCTGGCGTGTGGTGAGAGAATGTTCTGCACAGAAGGCCCAAATAAGAGATTTGAAATAAGGCCGAAATAGGGGCAACCCCCACGGCGTTTGAAGATTGTTGAATTAAGGCCGAAATCAGGGCAACCCCCAACGGCATTTGAAGATTTCCGAGATAAGGCCAAAACACGGGCAGAATAAGGGCAAACTAAGGGCAACCCCCGGCGGTTGTTGAAAGATTTCTCAGGCAAGGCCTTCAGAAGGACAACAATCTTGTTGCAACGCGATTTTGAAAAGGCTCCGCTAGATAATTTCCGTGAAACATACCATGAAACTAGATCGTCAATTAGATTGTATTTCGCATGGAGACGCACGGGTGCGGTTCGGATTCTGCTTTTGTGGATTCGTCCCTGGCCATTTCAAGAGTAAAGGAGCACCAAGAGACTTCGTAAGGCAAACGCAAGCGCATCCAAATCATAGAACGTCTTTGGTGGGTGCTCCCTTTCTGCATTTGAGAGCAATGGTTCCCTTTGTCTACATTCGGGTCCCAGCATTTCCTTTTCCTTTAATTTCTGTTAGTTCCCGGCATTTGAACTTCGCTTCCTTTGCATGTCTTCCCTGCATGTCCGACAGTTTGCTGGCATTTCCCTTCACTTCCTTTTGCTTCATGTCCGTGTCAGCTCCCTTCATTTCCTTGAACGCCCCTGCATTCGCCTTCCTTTCCCTTAGTTCTTTTTTGTTCCCGCGACTTCAACCTCGCTTCCCATTTCACGTCACTTTCCTGCACATCCCTTCATTTCTCTTCAATTTCTCTTCGTTTCCCATAATTTCCAACCATTTCTTTTTCTTCCCATCCTCCGGTTCCCTTCGCATTCTGCCCTTGCATTTTCCTGCATTTTTCTTTATCCTTCATTTCATTCCAGTAGATCCTGTGTGAATAGATGCTTGACAGTCAACAGGTTCCCCCGAAGAATTGCATTCAATGCCCTCTTAATTTTCGCGCAATTCCTTTGGCTTCCATTTCGTTCACTTCCAGTCACGCCTGCTTCCCTGCATTTCCCCTTGTCTTTCTGCAATTTTCAGCCCCTTGTTTCGCATCGCCAGCAAGCATAGCATCATCTGCATCATCCGGGATGATGCTGGCAATGCTGGAGGTGTTGTCCAGTATTAGGCCCCCCCAAACAAAATCAAGACTCATTTTTGGATGCCGCGGGGAGATGCTACAAGACTGCTCGAGAATCGCTTAAACCAATCCGCAAATCCTTCGTCTCTAAAAAGGGCGGGCCCAGCGCAAAACGTATGCTCATGTTCGGCTCATGGTCGGCGGCATGGGGCGGACGGCCTGAGACCTGAAGGAAAGCCCTCCGGGCTAGGCCTGTGGCCCGATCACGTCCGGCGGCTGGATTTAAGGGCTCACGCCTGACAGCCGGGCGCCGGGAGGCCTTCGTCAAGGCGCAAAACCACGTAAAAACCACGTGTTTATAACGTCGCGGCTCTTCCAAGTCCATTTGGCAAGAGACCGGTGAAGGCCGACTCCACATCTTCTGCGTTCGCGCCCACCAAAAAGCGTGGGAAAACGCAGGGTCTGCCAGCAAGTTCGAAGCACCTTCCAGAAACGCCACTAAAAGCATGCATCTTCCACGTGTTTTCAGTATTTTCACAACAACGCGTCTTGAATCCATACACAGCCATCAAAACCACGTGGGTTTTTCTACTTGTTCACCGAAAACCCTGCCAGGAATCGGGCTCGGCCGGGGAGAGTTGAGCCCTGCCTGCTAAGCAGGTTTCCACATTTTCCACGTGTGCGCCGGCCTAGAATCCATACAAAACTACTGAAAACACAGTGTTTTTTTGTTGTGTTCACCGAAAATCCTGCCAAAAATCAAGTTCGGCCAGGACCGTTGAGGCCTGCCTGGTAAGCAGGATTCCATATCTTCCACGTTTGCACCCGCCCAAAACCTTCAAACAAACTGTGTTTTTCCAGCCGAATTGGCCCGACTTAGGGGACAACATCCCCAGCATCCCGCCCAAAAAAAGTGCTCGCCGCGGGGAGATGCTACAAAAATCCGCGAAAATCGCTTAAACCAAATCCTTCGCCACTTATAAGGGCAGGCCCAGCACAAAACGTATGCTCATGGTCCGCGCGTGGTCTGCTCATGGTCGGCGGCAGGGGACGGACGGCCTTACACCTGAAGGTAAGCCCTCCGGGTGTGGCCTGCGGCCCGATCACGTCCGGTGGCCAGATTGAAAGCTGTGCCGCCGGCCCCTGCCTGTGGACAGGGGACGTTGTCATGACAACTATGACCACGCATTTTCTGTCGGGCTTAACGGCACACTTAAAGCCTAAAGCATACAGGAAAAAGAAGAGCAGCGCGATCATGAGGATGTTTTTGATGATGCAATTTTTTACCCAGCATTAGGGATGCTCATGACGGCTGCTCCACCAGCAAGGAGGAGTAATAAACTGTTCGTCCACACATGCCCAACACGCTTGTGCAGGTTGTGCGACTCTGTGTTTTGGCTCGAGTAAAAGTCCGCTCCGCAGCTGACCTAGAGCTGAATAAGTTACTTTTCAAAAATGAAAAAGAAGAGCGCCACGATAATGATCATGGTTTTGATGAGGCAATTTTTCCCCAACACTATGCATTCGCACTATCGCCACTAGTTATTATGATAATTGTTACTTTGCATTTCTAGCATCACCAGCAGTTGTTCTGATAACTATGACGACGCATTCCCTGCATCTCAAAAAAGCCACTGCGGGATAAAGTCGCATGATAACAAGCACCTTCGGGCATGTTGGGGGCCTTTTTTCTTGTCAAGACTTCGATGTATTGCTGTGGGTGCGAAGGTGGGCGTTGTGCCATCGCTTCGTCTTTGCGAGAAGTAAGCGTTTAGGAACACTTCGGAATGCAATCAGATGGTGATGAACTATGCACCCCCGGCAACGTCAGCAGATATTTTGACAGTCATGGCTACGCACCCCCTGCATCTCAAGTCAGGTCTAACGGCACACTTGAAATGTGTGTGGACCACGGTTTTGATGATGCGCATGATGAGGAACATGATGATGAACATGATGATCATGAACAAGATGATGATGATGATGATGAACATGAAAACGGTGATGAACATGATGATGATGATGAAGATGATGAACACCACCATCATCATTTTCATCATCATGTTCATAATCATCATCATCATCATTTTCATCATCATGTTCATCATCCTCATCATCATCATTTTCATGGAACATGTTCATCATCACCATCATCAAACTCATCATCATGTTCCTCATCATCATCATCCTGATCATATTCATCACTACGCATCCACAGCATCACCAGCAGTTAAAGTCATTCCTCTGCATTTCCAGCCGGGTCTAACGGCACACTTGAAAAGTGTATGAAACAGAAGAACGCCACCGTTGTGATGAACATGATGAGGAACATGATGATGAACATGATGATGCGATGTTGATGATGATGAGGAGGATGATGATGATGAACATGATGATGGTTCTGAGCATGATGATGATGATAAACGCAACCATCATCACTTTCATCATCATGTTCATCATCATTTGTCATGTTCATCATCATGTTCATCATCATCATTGTCATGTTCACCATCATCATCATGTTCATCATCATGTCCCTCATCATGTTCATCATCATCGTTAGCATCATCCTCATGCTCGTCATCACTACACATCCTCAGCATGACCAGCAATTAACAGCATCACTATGCATCCCCAGCATCAGCGGCAGTTACCGTGACAATCATGACAACACATCTTCTGCATGTCCAGCCGGGTCTAACGGCACACTTGAAACGTGTATGAAGAAGAAGAGCGCCACGGTTTTGATGAACATGATAAGCTACATGGTGATGAACATGGTGACGCGATGTTGATGATGATGAGCAGGATGTTGATGATGAACATGATGACGAACATGATGATGATGATGATGATGAACATGATGATGATGATGATGATGAACGCCACCATCATCATTTTCATCATCGTCATCAATTTCATCGTTATGTTACGTTCATCATTTTCATCGTCATCATCATGTTCATCATCGTTATTGTCATCATCATCATCATCATTTTCATCATCATCATCATTATCATCATTTTCATGTTCATCATCATGTTCCTCATCCTCATCCTCATCTTCATGATAACCATCACTGCGCATCCTCAGCATCACCAGCAGTTAACGTCATCACTATGCATCCCCAGCATCAGCAGCAGTTATCATGACAATCATGACAACACAAAAAGAAGAGCGCCACGGTAATGATGATGACCCGGACGCTGTGAACCATCACCCAACATCAGTGGTGATGATAATCATCACTAGGACAAGGACAAAGACAAACCCTTCCCACGCGCCTCCGCTTTGGAGAAAGGGGTCGGCGGATATTTCCGCTTCAAGCTATGCTCAACTGATCTGAAAAGTGGAAGCAGTGGTGTCGCCGGTGTCGCGCAGGAAGCGCAGCAGCAGAAGCAGCTAGAGTACCGGCAAATCCTGGACCAACAGACTGCCACCGCGGCGCGACCGGGGCCGGTGACTGGCTGACTGTGAGGGTTCTCCACATGTCTTCAAAAGACCTTGTCTTCTTTGTTCCTTTTGACAACTAAAGTAAGGGCTCCTAGTCAGCGAGCCGACCATGACCTCCAGAGGGCGTTGCGACCATTTGCGCTTGGTTTCCTGCTCCCACTTTGCGAACCAACGGATCATTCCCTTTTGGTAGCTTCAAGTTCAAGAGGAGCCACCCATTTTTAGCAGAAACGAGGACATGCCGAAGAATAGGGTTTGGTAGGAGCTGCTCAGATGTCGAAACACACCCAAATATGATTTGCATGGTTGGAGTTCTTCGTTGGTGCGCATAACTCCCGTATACATGATGTCCACCAAAGTTTTGCCAAAGCGCATGCCTTCCAAAATTACACAGCTTCAGTTGTTGTGACATTGAAGCGGGTCCCCCTTTCTGGCGGGTGATGCCCGACGGGAATGTAGGGAGCCCTGCATCAAGCAATGGGCATTTAGGCTAAGGATCAGCCCTGAATAAGGCCTGGTTGAATCAAAATATACAAGCCGCAGCAATGCGAAGCATTGGGTGTATGTGGTGCAGGGAGAGATGTTTGCATGTAGGATGCTTATCGGACTTGGCTTTGGCTCAAGAAAAGAGTCCGCCGTTCATCATTCAGGGTTTATGCCGCAGCCGGGTGGGAACGGGGTCAATAAATTCTTTGGTCTGTTCCCGGAGAGAAGGCGATCTCCAACCCCTCTTGCGCGTACCGCAGTACGGGCAACCCTGCGTCAGGGGCTAGGCAAAAGTGTTAGGCAGCGTGATTGAAAATGCGAGGAGGCTTAGGAAGGCGAGAGTTTTCTGCGGACCGACATCTTGGTCACAGCCAGTAGACTCTAGGCGCAGCGTTCCGAGCGGCCGGTGAGTTCGGTGCCGGCATCTCCGAACTTTCGGCGAGAAGGGTTGGTTGTAAGGCGCTCCGTGTGCTGTTTTCTGACGGGTGGACGCTAGAGAGGGCCCAGGACATCCCCCGATGAAGATCGGTGCAAGATTCGGAAGGCACGCGCGACGAGCAGCATCAGGGTATCGAGGTGAGTGCGGCGTTTGCAGCGGCAAAGTTCTCGAGGCCCCTATTGTTTATCATCGACCTCCCGCACGTGAACGCAGTCGACAGGTCACCAAGGCCAACATTATACTTGGAAGGTAGAAACGCATGACCCATTTGGGGTGTTCTACGCTAAGTCCGCCTGGCCAGCTGGCAGGCTCAGCTAGTAAGCATTTGGCCTTGCGCCGGGCGCTTAGCTGAGTCTGCCAACTGGCCAAGCGGACTTAGCGAGGTGATAGCTCAGGTTAATTAGACCTACTTACAACGTAGGTTGGCGGATTTAGCTAAGTCCGCCAAATGGGAACAGCACTTGGCAACCCTGCACAACAGCCGAGTTTGGTGAGCTCGTCCCCCTTTGCAGAACTCAGGCAAGCCGCAAAGCAGTACTTTGAACGTACCTGAGCGAGGACACTTAGAAAGCATCTGAATAGGGCTTGCATCAGTGTGAAGTTGTACATCTGCCAGGTCGCCAGGTTTGTCTGACGTCGATGCCTGTTGGCTTGCCAGAGAAACAAGCATGTGCCATCCGGCGGCGTCGTCAGTGGTGAGTTGATGCCGAGTGTACGGCAGTACATGACGCACTTGTTGTGCGGCGCCCTAGGTCATTCCAAGCGACCTGTGAATTGTTCATGAGCTGAACAAGGGACGTAAGAGCGCAGATTTTGGATTTTTTTGGGTTCTCTACACTGAAATACAGTCCCCAATTCTTCTTGGATCGAACTGGGCTGGTGCCTCGCCCTCTTCTCTGCGACAATCTTTGGATCGTTTATGCTCTGCATGATGGAGCAAGCCAAACAACGTCATCTGGCTGTTGCTATTTCGAACATCGATTGGCGGACGAGGGCCGCAGCCCCGTGGCAGGTCAAAGTTCCAGGCGCCCCCTCTCACCGCAGCCCAAGGCGCCGCGCAGCGGTCCCAGTGAGTTTGCGGACCAAATCTCCGCCAAGTGTGTGGAACGTTTGGACCTACATTGCGCAGCCAGTCGTGCGCCTGGCAGTGGCGTTTGACAAAGCTACACGATTCGCAGGGCCGTTGTCATCCTGTATTGCGTCGCACGCTGCTGCTCGAACCGGAATCGAGCAGGCGCTTGCTCAAACGGAGCTTTCTTGCGGCAGGCGCAACGCACTGCTGAGGCTCGACTACGCCCAGTTCCCTTACAGTGACGCAGAAGCGCGTAGGCCTACCAGCAAGGCTGCGATTTTAGCAGCTCTTTGTTGCCACATTCTTGGCGAGGATGCAGCCAAAACGTCCTCGAAGAGTGTAGGCGAGCCGGCGTGCGTTCAGTTCAATCGCTGTGCGTCGGGCGCTTTGAGCCAAGTTGAAGCGTTTTGCAGCTGTTTGAGTACTCCCAGGATTGTTGGACCCCAGGCTGTGAGCATCTGCGTCTCTGGCACGGCCCTAAGCAAAGGTTGCCTGGCCGCGAGCATATATGGCACTTGCCCTAATTCAAGGAATGACTGCGCCCCTAGGCGCGGTGCTTTCGCATTGTTGCGAAACACCGCTTGAGCCAGTCGCTGCGTATATGTGGGGCTTCCCAACTTCAGCACAAGCCAATACAATCTTCATCAGAAATAACTGAAGACAGGTCTATAGGTCGCCATGCTGTGTATGATGATCCCGATCTTGCAGATATGGACCTTGTTCCTCCTCAAGTCAGGCCATCGGCCATCACCATCCTCCATTCTCAAGCGTCACCTCGTGAGCCCTTAACGAGTTCATTGCTGGCCTGGCTGTGCAACATTGGGCATCCGATGTCACATCCCAGGGCCGTTCTGGTAAATGTGAACCCTTTCCCTCCCAAGTTCCAGCGGGAGGGTAGATCTCCGGCGCCGAGCACGCCTGTGAGAGTGGCCGGTGAAGTTAGTTTTTCGCGTTGTGTGGAACCGTTGCAGCTGCAAGGGCTGTTGCTCGCCAAGAGAGGCTAAAAGACTTTGATTTTCGCCCGTGCAAAAGAGACTCTAAAACATATGATGTTCTCACGGTTGCTGGTTTCGTGAAATTTGCGACGGCAGCTGTCCCCTTGGCATGTCCCGGTTTCAACGTGTGATTACATGGCTCAAGACGCATTGGGCAAAAGGTTCGCTGCATTGCGAGACACATCTTGGTCAGTTGGCTGAAATGCCGTGTCTATAGGTTGTATGGCTGCGCAATCAGTCAATGTTAGCAGCGATCCGCCAAGAGGGATTTCGAGGGGTTCCCCTGTGTGTGCCGAGGGTTTGGGAACACATAACTGACCACGCAGCAAGCGTAACGGGGGAACTCACAGGGCCCAAGTGATCGAATTTGGTTTGTTGCGCCGGGCTTGCCCTCAGTCCTTGTCACAGGGCCAATGCAGGGCCAGCGCCCAAAACACTTTCAGAACGGATCTACGACGCATTTAGGCGCCTCACGAGTTTTGCGCTTGCGGGGTTCCACGCCACATTTCACGGAACCCCGGTTTCGCAGCCATTTGGCACACCACGCCAAACAAACTCCTGACAGAACTCCACGCTGTTAGTGGCCAGTTCAGACCTGCGCGCGCCTGCGCGCGTGTCCTGACACGCGCGAACGTTTTTTTGTGTCGCTCGCCGCTGTTCTGCGTTCGGAACGATAATCTTGCTTGCAAACGGCGAGATTACCTGCAGTCAATGGAGCCACGTCCCCCCACAAAAGCCCGGAAAAGCAGCCAAACAAAAACAAGCTGGGGTGCCCCTGGAAAGCAAGAATTTTTCATGAGTGGCTTGCAGCGATCGCAGGCGCGCTTCACAAATCGCCGGCGGCAAGTTCAGTGGCTCTTGTGCCTCAATCTCTGAGGTTTCAGGGGCCATCTCTGGGATTGCGGTTCCGATTTTGGGCGTGAACTTATGACATTTCAGGATTGGCGGCCCCCGATTCTGTTTTTCGGCTTTTGATTTTTTTGGGGGGCGGCAGGGAAGATTATGCACACTGTGCCGCCGCGCCCTCAGGTCTGCTGGGCGAAAAAAAAAGTCACTATGCTCATCCTCTCGCTTGCGCTGCAATGACATTACCTAATTCAATGACAATGTTCGTGCCGGCACACACTGGCTTTATAGCAACTGCACCATGTGAATGTTTATGTACTTAAGCGCGTACACTCTGCATGATGCATGGCATGTCATAAAATATATACTATCAAGCGCACACATATCTGGATCTCCGTCATGTCATTTTGCAGTCAACAAACAGGCTCGGTCCTGCTTCAGTGCCTGCTGTCACAGACAAAGTGCATCGGAACATGTTACACCTTGCAAAAAGCAGACAGAAGCCATTGCAGCTTCGGCGCGGGCGCACAAACGCGACTCTTTAGCCAAAAGACGATATACACTTCAGCCGACGCGCGGCGCATTGTGTTATACGGGCACCCGCCCAATCCACTACTCCTGCTCGCCGCTCATCCCATCGCATCCGGACAAGAGTTCACTGCATGGTGAGCTCGAGAAACTTTACTTCTAATCAATAACAAGCCTGCTGCTATTTCAGCGAGCGGCCGGCTTCCTTAAACGAACACCGGAGCGTTTTATTCCCAGTCGCCGCTGCAGAGTGAATGGAGTACGCCGCTGCTCCGCATTCATTGCAGCTGCAGGTGGTTTTAGGCCTCCCTTAATAACCTCCTTTTCGTGTTGCCTTTGCTTTGCTAAAGGCAAAGAAGAATGCTTGTGGCATCTGCTTTGTCGTTGGTCTAGGATCCATTCCTTCCACTCCTGCGGCGAGAACAGGGCAGAGCCTAGCCGTCGGGCCAATATATGCGAGGCCAGCGTCTGCCTTGTGGTTGGGGAATGCCGCGAGCTATCGTGCGCCATCAGCTTTCCATTCATAGCGACACGTAGCTTCAACTGAAGGCTGCTGCGTTGAATTGCCTGCACTTGGCGAAGCCAGCCATGTAATTCGGCGCCTCATTGGACGTGGTGCCGGACG